TCTGCTTCCCTCCTAATCTTGGTTGCATTGGCTTTTTTTGTGCAAAAACTTTTCAATTTAATGTAATCAAAATTATCCATTTTTGCATTTCATAATGTTCTCTATTTCTTGCTTGGTCATAAATTCTTCCCTTATCCATAAATCTGACAGATGAACTATTCCTTGTTCTCCCAGTTTGCTTATAGTATCAGCCTTTATATCTAAATTGTGTACCCGTTTTGACTTCATTTTGGTATATGGTATAAGATGTTGGTCCTTTTCTGATGTTCTTTGTTTTTTTTGGGGGGGGGCAATTGGGGTTAAGTGAGTTGCCCAGGGTCACACAGTTAGTAAGTGTCAAGTGTTTGGTCTGAGGCTGAATTTGAACTCAGGTTCTCCTGATTTCAGGGTCGGTGCTCTATCTACTGCTCCACTTAGCTGCCCCCTTTTCTGATATTCTTAGTAGAACATCAGTTCATTCACACCTGAAATAAAAGTTGTTTGGTTGGTTTTATTTTTTATCATATACCAAAGAGTTGTTAAGAAGGAACTGAGCAGCCATAATAAGAATATGATTAATGATAAGCAAATAGAGTCCATCCTTATAAGAGAACTTCCATTCCTAGATTTGATTATAAATTGTTTAAAGGCATTTAAACATTTAGTAAAATATTATAGTTTTCAAGAATGCATTTATGTGGGAGACCCAGGAAAAATATCAAATCTGGCCCCTTACCATTTAACAAAACTGATTTTCATTTCTCCTTTCTAATGATGTTCTTTAACCTATCTCATAACTTCATGAAGAGACATTCTTTTGTTAACTTAGTAGTAGTGTTTTTTGGACGTTATCCCTTCCACTAGCCCTTGATATGTTTATGTACCAGATGGGTGTTAACATACTAAAGAATGAGAATCTGTGTTTTTCTTCGTCTTTTTCTTTAATGACTTTTATCTCCAGAGTAGCTGTAATCTCAATTCAATTCAACTCAACTCGATTCAACTAACACATGTACAAAACTCTATGCCAAGGAGATGGCGGTGATCCAAAGTTTAGATAAGACCTTGTCCTACCCTTCAGGAATTACATTTAGTAGGGAAATATGACACCTACAAAAAGATTAGAGATTGTAGGATTATTGATCTAGAATTGGAAAGGACCTCAAAGGCCACACAATCCCATTCTTTCATTTTATAGATGAAGAAACTGAGGCCAAGGAAATTAAATGACTTGCCCAAGGTCATACAGGCAACATATAAACTGAAACTCTGGTGCTATGATGAGAAGTCCAATACTCCTGCCATTCAATCATACTTCGTCTCTATAAAACAGCTAAATAATAGACATTATATTTTAATGAGGCATTAGAAAAGTGCTAAGGTTGGCCCTGAACAAGAGATGAAAAAAAAATGCCCTGTCTTCCCTTTCACTGGGCTGGTTTGTTTGTTTGTTTTTGTTCTTGTTGGTTTTATCACCAGGGCTTAGCAACATCTGTGGAACATAGTAAGTGTTTAATATAGGCTTGTTGCTTGCTTACTTGGTAGATTCATTGCAGAGGTGAAGAATTAAGAGTAGGGAATATCACTTATGCTTTGAGACTCAGATGTTATGTCGGTTAATTTTGCTGAAATGCTTCTTATTTTCTTTCTGTTTTTATTTTTTGTTGCAAGGAATGGTTCAATGGTTAGGGAAGGATGGTTATATTTGGAAATTAAAGTAAACACAAAAGATATCCACAAAAATTTTTAAGGTAAAAAACAATGGTATAAGGGGGAAAAATTATCATTCGCAGGGGGTAATCAGGAAAGTCTTCCTGAAGGAAGTGGTGTTTGAATTAGGCTTCAAAGGATGAACAGGAGTTCAAGGGGCAGCTAGGTGGTATAGTAGATAGAGTACTTGGCCTATAGTTAGGAAGGCTCATCTTCCTAGGTTCAAATCTGTCCTCAGACAGTAGTTGTGTGACCCTAGGTAAGTCACTTCACCCTGTTTGCCTCAGTTTCCTCATCTGGAAAATGAGCTGGAAAAGAAAATGGCAAACCGCTCTAGTATCCTAGTCAAGAAAACCCCAAATGGAATCATGAAGAGTCAGACACAATTGAAATGACTATACAACAGGAATTCAATGGTCATAGCTGGTTAGGTCATGGAGACAGCTTGGTATAGTGGAAGAATCGTTGGCTTTATAGTCCAAGAATCTGAATTTGAGTTCCAGATATGACAGTTACTTATTGTGTGGCCATAACTTATCCTGTTTGTGCTTCAGATTCCTCCTCTTTCCTATTCCCTCCATTTTCAAACACAGCATGACCCCTTCCTACCTTTCTAGGCATATTTACCTCTCTAAGAACTCTTGAATACAGCTGTTTGGGTCTATTTGGTGTTCCGTACTTATGACACTCTATGTGCTATCTTCATGCCTTTGTCTTGGCAGTCTCCCATGCCTGGAATGCCTTCCTTCCTCACTTCTGCCATTTAGAATCCCTGGCTTCCTTCTAGACTCAGCTCAAATGCCACCTTCTGCAATAGGCCTTTCCTGTTTCCCACCTCATCTGCTATGGGGGGAAATTTGCTTCTTTATTTTCACTAGATTCTGACATTTAGCATTCCTTCAATTACTTATTTCTGAAAAGGGGGTTCATAAGCTTCACCAGACAGCCAAAGCAGTCCATGACATAAACAACTTAAAGACCCCTGCCTTTCCTTCTAAGGTGATCTTACATCTTCTCTATATGTACCTTGAACTTACCTACTAATGTACATGTTATCTCCTCCATTAGAATGTAAGCTCCTTGTGGGCAGGGATTGGCTTTACCTTTATCTCTGACTCTTAGCACAGTTCCAGGCATATTTAATACATGATTGGTGATTGATTGATCTTTAAGATCCATAAAATGGAGACAAATGAATGAAAAGGCATTTATTAAGTACTTTATTAAGTATTATGCGTCAGATACTGTGCTGGTACTAGGTTTACAAATAGGAATGTGAGATGTCTTGCCCTCAAGGGGTTTACATTCTAATGGGGGAAAACCATATAAGGGACTAAAGAGATTCAGAGGGATGAGGTCTGGAGTCATAGGACGGTCAACGCCTGCACTCTCCTCCCCTCTCTAGAAACAATGGAAGTAATGATTTGCTTTATTCCTTTCTCTTTTTTTTAGTATTTTATTTTTCTAAATTACATGTAAAAACAATTTTCAACATTTGTTTTTCAAATTGAGTTCCAAATTCTCTCCCTCCTTCTCCACCCTTCTTGAGAAGGCAAGCAATTTGATATAGTTTATATGTGTATAGTCATGGTTCCATATTACTCACTTTGCAAAAGAAAACATCACCAAAATAAAAACCCAAGGCAAATGAAGAAAGTAAAAAAAAGGGTGCTTTCATCTGTGTTCAGACTCCATCAGTTCTTCCCCTGCGAAGGGATAACATTTTTCATCATAAGTCCTTCAGAGTGGCTTAGATCATTGTATTGTGAGAATGATTTGCTTTATTCCTGGAGCAAAAGGTAGAAAGGGGAGAGGGAAATGAGTCTGCTCCTGCTCACTCTCTCATCAAGCTCAGCCCCAAGGTATGATTCTAAAGATGAGTGCATTAAATCACACAGGGAGAATGGTATGGTCTCTTATCTCAAGATAGGTAAGTTTAGCTGGACAGGTGGCAAAATGTCCCAAGATTTCTGGGGATGATACTACTTGCATTACTCGCCCCCCAGGGTCATAAAGAAAATGCCTAGGAAAATTTAAAGCACTGTATAAATGAGTTATTTCAGAGCTAGCAAAGGCAGGGAGGTGAGAAAGTAGAGGGTATGCACAAGGAAAGCTGTAGCATACATAGAGCAGAATAGTACAAAATTAAGGAGGTTTTATCATTATGGAAGCGTTTGAATGCCAAACTAAAAACTCACTAGATAATTTGTTTCTAAACAGAGTGACATAAATAGATCTATATATGAGAAGTAAGTCTGGAAGCAGTATGAGATTGTCGTTAGTACTTTGCTCTCAGAAAGGACCAATGACATCAGGAGGGTGCTGTTTTGATTTGTAAGTGAGTTGGATTTAAGTGAGGCAGGGCTGTGCACAGTCATCAGCCCCACTCTCTCTTCCAAAATCATCTGAGTCCATTGGTAAGACATAAGTCAAGATGACCGGTGATGGCCCCAGATGTAGTGGGAGACCTTGAGCTTTTTAAGCCCTTTCCCAGGTCTCTGTTTATCTGAAACAACACCTATTCAGTGATTAAAGGCTAGGCAAGAATTGAGGCCAAAAGATTGGCCTAGTTTGCCTTCACAAAACTCCCAGAATGATTCTGGGAGGAGAAGATCCTCAGAGTTTCTGGCCAGAACAGAAATAATCGCTATTTACAGTACGAGGGAGAGTTTGAAAGAAGGAGAGAGTAGACATAGGAAGGCCTTTTAAGAGATTATTGCAGTAGTCCAGGTCAGTCCAGATAAGGGTCAGTACTAAAGTGGTAGTTTGGGGAATAGAGGAGAAGGAAAAAAATAAATTTTGGTGAATGGGACAAGCAAATGGGGGAGTCATAGGTCTGAAAGGTGCCCTTAAAATAACTTAGTCATTTGTTTTGTGAAAACAACACAAGAAATGTCTTAGACAAATTTATTCAATCAGGAAAGGAAATTAGTTACTATACTGGCAGATAGGTTAGGTGTTCTTAACAATGCCCTGAAACCTGTAGCTTCTTATTTTAACGAATTATTCCTGCCACCTAAGTTCCTAGTAAGTAACCACATATTTCTAACTGCTGAAGGCAGGCGTATGTTAATTTTTTTGCATGCTTTAAATTTTGGTGTCCTGTGATAAAGTTTTATGCTATAATCCTGGATACATTCTATTTTGCTGAGCTAGCACCATCAGGACTTTGCAGGTGATGGGCATTGAAAGGAGAGAGAAAGGGAGAATTCAAAGATAATTCCATCCAACAGATATGCCCTCATGAAGATTCCCCAATATAGTATTATACTATAGCCTTGCACTAATCTGATGTAATTTATTCTTTGTAGGAAATACCAATGAATTTTGTGGATCCGAAAGAAATTGACATTCCACGTCATGGAACTAAAAACCGCTACAAAACCATTTTGCCAA